ATAACTTGTAATTTTTCGAAAGAAAACATATTATACCTATATCGCTGATATAAAGGTTAAAGAATGGCGCTTTTTATGAAGTATTGGCCAACTAGGGTTTCCGTTTAAAAAAAACATAATGTTTGTGTCATATGTCAAAAATGACAGGCTTTAGAAAAAAAACAGAAAACACAAACTCATTAGGTATGTGATTATCTACAACTTTTATCTGAAAACTTTTAACATACCTATGGTAGATTATAATGGAATTAGAGACAAGTTTTAAAATAGCCAAAATTTGTTTTTTTCGAAATGTCTAGTAAGCCTTGAACTTCTCCGAAAAATCCGAAAGGCGCATATTTATGACCCCACAAAACTGCAATTCTTTCCCCATTTAACCGACTCTCTATCTCCAGTAGTTTCCGAGATACCCATAGAGAACATCGTAGGAAACTCACCTTGTATAGTATTTAGAAACTAACTATTATTATTATTTGACTAGATTAATTTGATTAATAAGACTCGATTAATTTAATTTAAAATAAATTTGATCTGATTTTTTTTTCGTATATTCTACTACCAGAAAACCAAAATTATATGATAACGCACTTTTCAACGAAGTTGAAGGAAGATATGTATCTATCACAATACTTAATAGAATTACTACAATTAGAAGAAAAACAAAAAGAAAAACTGCCCTACATTTAAGTAAGGCACTCCTGTTATTAACTTTCGATAATTATATTGTATCAAACCTAAATACAAAAATGTGCTTGTTGAAATAACTCAAAAAATAGAAAGATTCCATAACAGTGTTTAACTATGAAATCTTCGAAATGTCTATATGTTCTAGAAGTATCTTATTTACTTACTATGTAGACTGGTTTTCAATGTTTCCATTTATAATGGTATAGGAAACTGGGCTAAGATGTTATAAAATAAATATATTTATGTAAATATTTGGTTTTAATTATTTTAATAAATTTCCCTAGGTAATTATTTTTCCTGATAGGCCCCTTGATCACAAATATCAACTTCACGTTGTCGGCAGTTAAAACACGGCTTATCCGGAAAATTGCCCGAAAACAAATCACCGAAACGAAGATTGCCTTAATAGGCCAGTCAATCTGGAGGTTGAGGTGGAAAAAATTAGTAACCAACCGATCTCAACGGGAATGTATACATGATACAATGATCTCCTATGTAACCCCTCAAAAGTCCCATTCGGTTCCAGTGGGGGACGTTTGAAAAAAACCGCCGCCATTTTGATTTTTTTTGGTTTTTTTCAAATGTCTCCGTTTGCATAACTTTTTTCGGAAAAACAAAAGATAGGACTTTTGTAGATAATTAAATTTAGAACATTTTACCTTCAATATTTTTTTTTCTAAAATAAACAGTAATAGAGATTTTAATTTTTTACTATACGTTTTATAAATTTTCCAGTTATTTTAAACCAATCAGCTATAATTTTTGCGTCAACACTATAGTAATAATATAGACACAGATTATACAGATTATAATCTTTGTTTTTTCTTTATTATTTTTCGTGGTTCCAATTTTCGGAATCGGGCACTAGTTAGGTGACTAGTTTGCGCACATAGCAAGCCCACTTATGGCCTCTAAAATTGTGCACAGCACCTGACCCGTGCAGTTATTAGAGAGATATCGGAAAACCGAATAGCGTCATCCAGTATTTATGCGCACCTTATCATTGTTACGATATGCGCGAGTCAATTTTTAACGCAACACCCGCTAATAACGTTACCACCTGACGTAATTTGCGGATCAATTACACCAAGCGCTCTTTCTAAATAACCTCTGATAACGTTTAAAAATTGCTTAAATCGGCATGTGCGGGTATTTGACAACCCGAGCCGGCCGGCGCGGCAAGATCTTTTATTTTAGGTTATGTTTGAATTGTTTTAAATTATTGCTTTAGTTTTATTAGGTAATTTGATATTTAAGTAGCTGGGATTAGTTTTAATTAAATAAATATGGCCCAAAATATGGATTCCACCTCTTCCAATACTAAAGAACCTATAAAGAGTCTTAGGTTTACAGCCGATGACGACTTAGCCCTTCTAAGAGAATTTGTTGCTTGTTGCCCTTAACCCATTGGCAGACGTTGAACAATAAAGCACTGGAAATAAGCACTTTAGCCCTTTAGTTTTAAAATACCTAGTAAACAAAACAATTTCAAAATTAGGTTAAGTTTAAATAGCGGACGCGACGCGATCAGAATTCTTTCCGTTCCGATAACTATAAATGAAGAGAATTAATACCACCTCACGTAAAGGAAATAACACCTGGCCTTATTAACGTCCAGTTGCACGCTATTCGGTTTAGCGATATCTCTCTATTACGCTGTTTATTGTTATTTTGCGCGAGTTTATTTTTACGCAGAGGAAATTTGACTCGTTTGCACATCGTCATAAAAAACAATTTTCGTACCACGAATTAGGGACAAGATTTTTATCTGTATACTTATAGGATACCTAATCTGTGATATAGATAAACCAAGTATAATTTTAAGCATAAAAACAATTAAAAATAACGTTTAGATATTATTTATTAAATAAAATCTTCTCTGACGTCATCCTGAGCGTCATTTTCGTCCTCAACTAAAATGCAAACGTTTGTGCAACTGATTCCGTAGCACTGAACACACTTTGAACAACATTTAAGACCCAGTTTTCTACAAGAGCAATTTTTAGAGCACTGACTCTCTTTGCAATTAAAAAAAAATAATTTTAGTAGGTCAGGAGGCGCCACATCTTCTATTGATTGAATAGGTGTCAGATTGCCTTTTTGATTTTTCTTCCATCCTATTGTAAAGGATCTAACTTGTTACCAATCCATTCTTGAATCTAAAAAATACACCTTATAACATTTTCTATAATAGATATATCTTTACAGTTACCTGAAAGTATGTCCTAAGTAAATGGAGGTTTGCAGAGTTCTCGTTAGTGCTACGGAATAGAGTTACGTTAGTGCTACGGAATCAGTTGTACAAACTTTTATATTTTAGTTGGTGACGAAAATGACGATCAGGATGACGTCATAGCAGATTTTTTTTAATAACTTTAATTTAATAATAATTTTTTTAACAATAATTTTATTTAATAAATAATATTTAAACATTATTTTTAATTGTTTTAATGCTTAAATTTATACTTGGTTTATTGATATTTTCACTATACTCTTAATGCCAATAATCAATAATTATAACTGATTGGTTTAAAAAACTGGAAAATTTACAAAACGTATAGTAAAAAATTGCTCTATCTCTATTAATATTTATTTTAGAAAAAAAATTATTGAAGGTAAAATATTCTAAATTTAATTCTCTCCAAAAAACATATCTTTAGTTTTTTCGAAAAAAGTTATGCTAACGGAGATATTTGAAAAAAAAGAAAAAATCTGAGATGACGGCGGTTTTTTTCAAACTTCCCCCACTGGGACCGAATGGGACTTTTGAGGGGTTAAATAGGAGATCATTATCTACACATTCCCGTTGAGATTGGTTGGTTACTAATTTTTTCCACCTTTACATATAATACTCGGCTACGTTTACTGGCTTATAATGAAATATTATCCGAAAGAAGCCCGCAGAGCATTTTAGTGAACGAGAACGCTGCCCAAAAAAGCACTGCAACTGTAATACCCTGGTAATTTCTGTAAAATTGTATTTATGTACTGTGAAGATTGTATTTATTGTGCTTGTCGTCATCCCAGTAGCTACAGGCTACAGGTTCTAGAATTTTCACTAGTGAGTATTTATTGTTTCATTTTTCGCTATAATAAGCGGTAGCAAATTAAAAATCATGAACATAGGTAATAAAATAACATAATATTTAACAGACAGAGAGCAGTAAGTTATCTTCTGTTATCAGTCTTCATTAAGTGTCAGAGTATGAATTGAATCATTGGTCAAGAACCATTCATTAGCTGTAAAATCATTAGGGCAGCCAATATTCGAACAGTTCAAAATGTGCATGGGATTTCCTGTTTCCAACGCCGATGCACCACCCGGTATAAAGTAAACAGAGCTGCAACATGTCAGTTTTAAAAAGACTAAAGTCTTAAGTGATTTCTAAAATCAAATTGATTTAAATCTTAAATCAAATTCAACATACAGTTCAAATGATTTAAGTCTTAAGTCTAACTTAAATAATTTTATTTCAAGTCAAGTCATTTTTGTAAAGACTTAAATCAATATACCTAACGTTATTTAAGTCATTTTGATCTGCAAGTTAAGTCATCAAAATGACTTCAATCAAAATAATTAACGTCAAATCAAGTCAGCCAAAATTGCACCCCAAAAATTGTGATTATAATAATTTAACTTAAGTCTTCCATAAACAGACTTAAACCTTTTTAATGATTAAGTCTTTTCTAAAAAGACTTAAATCATTTTCTATTTCGGAAAAAAGATTTCAAGAACAAATCATTTTGAAAAAGACTTAAATTTTAAGTCTTATGTCGGGCTTTCGAAAAATGACTTCTGAAAAAATCAAATGACTTAAATATAAAAACTTAAGCTTTCTGTGAGATTGGAGCTCTGAAAGTAAATAATAATAATAATAATAGCTCCCGTATATGTATAGAGTTTAACGCCTTGGGAGTAGCAAGGTACAGCTTGCCATGCTAGAGCCGTTCGGTATACAAGGAAGGTAATGTGGCACTACGCTTCACCCGCCTATTATTACCTCAGGACTGTGAATCCCAAGTACTCATTTAAGGCTGAGTCGACCTAGGTACCTAAACTATTTTTATTTTATTAAAAATAGTCGGCTGATGAAATGCCGGCTGTGGGATTCGAACCCACAACCTTTAGATTGGTAGACGAGAGCTGAATAAATTATTTTTTTAAAGAATTAGTATTTTTAATTCCGTTATATTAAAAAAAATAAACTTATAATAAACATAACTTATAATAAAAATAACAAATAAATGCATAACAAAAACGCTGTATTTTAAAACTTTCGGACACAAGTATTTGAAGAACAGAAAAATACAAAAAAAGACATATACTTTATTTGAAAAACATTTTAATATGTATAACAGATTTTATTTTATTTATTTAAAATAAATGGAAAAATAGATAATAGTCTAATAAAAAATATAATCAAAATTTTTTATGAATAAGCGTGCTGAGGATGATAAGAGAAAAACAATTCTTATGGGGAGATCACATTAAATTTTTTTAACTATCAAAACCATAACCCAATTTCATAAAACACTTTGATAGCTCAATAGGTAGATATATAAAAATACAAACAGAAACTTACTTAATTTTTGTATAAAATTTTAATAAAACATTGATAATAATTTAATAATATTGACAAAATATAATTAAAATCTTGTTGGTAAGGAAATTATGACTAGAAGAGAGAAACATTATTAAAACAAAATATAAAGAACCAGAAATTTATAGAGGCCGTGATAGTTGTTGATGTGGCTATACATAATATTTAGGTCACAAAAGAAATTGTGTGGATTATTGACACAAGTCAATCAATTATAGTCACGCAAGTGTGTGTGTCTGTTACAAGAGTACACATATTGTATTATAAATATAATATAAATCGATATAAAAATTTCTTTGATAATGCATTTTTTAATTACCTTTCACATCAACAAGACAACAAATTACGATTTTATATTACATATATTTTTTACATTTACAATATAACTAAATTACAAATATAATTAACAATATACACAAAGTAGTAAGTATATAAATAGAATATTTCGTAAAAATAGTGATACTTTTTGATTTAGTAGGGCTTGAGAGTAGTGCCGTCAGATCCTTTAACTGTGAGACCAATTTTTCCTGTTACTAGTAGAACAACTACTATTATTACAATAATAATCACTAACAACACTGCTAGACAAACGATTCTCCATAGACAGGATAATCTGGAAACAATAAATATACAAATCAATTAAAAATTCTAGAATAGTATACAGTGTCACAGATAAAGTCCGCATCATATGAAACTTCTTTATACAGGGTGGTCCGAACTGTATTCCGGAAACTTCGGCAGCATAAAAAGCCGTAAAAATAAGTAAAAAAGTTCGTATAAATGTATGTCCTAAAATGGTTAGTTTCGGAGATACATTGTTAGTTTTTTTTCATAATATCTGAAGTAAAGTCAATATTTGGATAAAAATTAGTGTCTGGAAGTTTTTTGACATGCGAAATTTGATTTTGATGTCAATATGACTCTCTTTGTAGGGGGCGCCACCTATACGTCGTACAAAATAAAAACCGTTGCGAGCTATCGATTCGGCTAATAAATGTGTCTAAAAAATACCACTACACAAATATGGCCGTTATGGGACGTTTTCAATGAGCTTTAAATTTCCCACTCGATACTGTGTTGGCAACGCCGAGGAAGCGTTTGCAGCGGTGCCACGTTTATTTGACATTTGCCAGAATTTTCTGATCGTTAGTTGGGAGTTGTGTCTCGTGTGTATTGTATCTTTTAAAACCTTTATCTATCGATCGAAAACTGTTGTTTTCAGAATAGTTTGTGTAGTAGTTGTTAGTTTTTTCTTTGAAAATACATAAGCAGTTAAGTAATCGGTGCCAAAAATTAGTGTCATCTTTGATACAATATTTTGAGAAAGAAAGGGACAATAACGGCCCGTTATATTATAATAAAGTATTTTAAAGTAGACCAGTAAAGTGAGTTTTTTTTTATTTTGAGAAAAAAACCTACTAATCTTCTATGGAAAATACTTATTAATTCTTCAAATATTTCAAAAAGTTGCCTATATATATGATAATCATTTACCACTCTTTATAATAGATAGAATAATTGCCCGAAACCCAGACTGTTATGTTTTAAACATTTTGTTTCAAACAATATTTTTAAGACACCACTACTTGTTTTAAATATTTGTTTAAAACAGAGTATTAAATACGTTTGGTGTGCAGGTGTTTATTTAAATAAAAAATTAGAAAAACTCTTTCAAAAGAAAAAAAAAACAACTATAATACAAAAGGAATAAAAAACAGAGTAATCAGCTCAACTTAATATTGTCTAAATAAACTATTAATTCTGTACTACTACTTGGAGGAGCACCATTAAGGTTTCTAAAATCGAATTAAGTTTTGTCCTTTGGCTTTATCATTACTCAACACGATATGGTTTAAAGCAGAGTATAAAAGTGTTTTAAACATAGAGTATTTTAAACATATTTTCGACTTTGTATTTACAATGTTCTTTAAAACCATAAAAAATTGTTTTAAACAATAAAAAACATGTTTTGTTTAAAAATAGTTTTTTTCAGCGCTGCTTTAAACTATTTAAAACTGTTAACAATTTAAAGTTTATTTTAGAATATTTATTAGATCTTAAAAAAATTTTAAAAATATTTCACTTCCGATTGCAATCTGGCAACAATGCTGTCTAAAATCAACGCACGTGCTCGATGACATGCAACGGATTTTATTTTGTACGACGTTTACATATGTTTTAACTGTTTCGAAGAGTAAAAACTTTTCTCGGCCGTACCTGTATAAAGCTACTGAGTGAAAGCATTTCCGTGACTTTTTACATAAAAAATATCTCTTGGTAAAAATCGCTACGAGCAACTGTTCTCAAGATATTTAGAATGGAAATCAAAAAACTTCCAGACACCAATTTTCATCCAAATATTGACGTTACTTCAGAAATTATTTGGAAAAAATCGAAATACAGATGAAAATTCTAAACCCTGTACCTCCGAAACTAAGCATTTTAGGACATACATTTAAAAGAACTGTTTTTACTTATTTTTATTTGCAGAATATGCTGCTGAAGTTTCCAGAATACAGTTCGGACCTCCCTTTATATAGTTTGCATCACACAATCAAATATTTTTACAACAAAATTTTACATTTCGTAAAAAACTATTAATTTATTCAAAACATTGAACTAAACATATGCGTGCTAGATAAATATTTCAAATGACGGGTCCCTATCAGTATCACGAGAACCGGCAGCTATTGGTTAAAAATTACGTTTCATCTAGAGGGCTGAAATTGACATATTTATATAAAATTAAAACAACTTCTGCAAATAAAGTTTTTCAAAATTTGGCCAGAAAACCTGTTTTTTAACCATTTATTATTTTAAACGTCAAATTTGACAGATACACGAGACCAACAGAGTAAATTTTCTTACGTCATTTTTAATCTAACTCATTAACTCTTAAATGATGCGGACTTTATCTGTGACACTGTATTACATAATGAGTGTTGTAAAAAGCATATTACGCGCGATTGGAAAACTAGAAATTATATTATCGTTGATTGAAAGAATTGGAAAGATACGCAACCTAATGGGTAAATTCGTGACAAGGCTGATTTGATTTCCCTTTACGTCTCAAGTGCTTACGGTGGTGACACCAATCGTTCTGCGGTCAACGCATAAAACACTTTTTTTCTCTAATTCGTCCAGCGAAGACATATCGAAAACGGTGTGGATCTGAAAGCGACAGTGTTGCCATATTAAAATGTGTAATATCTATAATACGTTTGACGAAAATATCTTTGGATTAAAAATCCGCGTTTATATATTGAAAATTTATTCTTGTTAAACATAGAATAAACAACAATTCTTTTATAGGTAGTGAATATGTTGTATCATCGAAAGAAGTCGTTTAGTTGGCTTGGAAATGACGATTATTGACACTTACCATAATATTTACATATGAACAGCGATCTTCATTTCCAAACCAACTCTGACGCCGTTCTTTGTTTAATCATATAATATTATATTAAATTATTTAATGTTTGTACTTGTTGTTTAACGTACTGTACCCAAAATCTGTAAATCTACGGATTAATCAGTAGTTCTGGCAACACTGTCGCCAGCAACCACTCACTCTTTCGACTGAAAGGAAAACTACGGTCAAGGTTATTAAAAGATAAGGTTGTCTCGTAACTTTTGGACCAATAGGAGCGAAGCGGAATAGCATTCTTCTGACGTAGACAGAACGTATAAAATCATAGATAAAAGGAATAAAAAATAAAATGCGACCGACAAAGAGAGATAAATGGACAATACAATAAAGAAAACACACATCAAACAACTGAACACTATTGACGCCATACACTATAAACAATAAAGTACACAATGAATATCGATTCGGAAATGCACTGTCGGACTGTGGGCAGTTTTTATTCCTTTATCTATGTGTGGTATTATTCCTATGACGTAGTAGATGACGTTTTCGATAATGGCGGATCGAGTTACGAGACAACCTTATGTTTTAATAACCTTGAACTGCGGTACAGTATTCTTTATCCGCTGCGCTGTAAACGACTATCAGCGCGCAGCGGCGCGGAGCTAAACTAAGTATCGGAATTCTCGGACAGGCTGACGGTAACGCCAACTACATCTCGGACAGGTTTTGTGCCTCAAAATCGCCCATAAGGTTGCGCATCTTCTTATTTCTTCAATCAACAATATTACGCATTACTATGCTTCGATCAGCGCGCACGCTGATTTGCAAATTTTAGTCAGCCGGTCATTTAATTGCAAAATTGAAACCAATATATTCTTATGAAGCTGCGAAAACAAATAGTCGACCGATCGACTCCATAAGAATGTATTGTTTTCATTGTATGCAATTTTTATCTGTTCTATTTTTTTATAATAAAACGTACCGTTTAACTAAAAAACACAAAAAATCTGCGAAATTTAACCTTGAATAAAAAAATTGCACACGGATCGATGGGGATTTTTAACATTTCATTTATAATGGTGCTCCGAACCTTTTCGTACCAATTTTATTGTTTTATGGAATGTTTAAAAAACACATGTTAAAATTATTTAAATCAATGTTTTTTTAATTGAACGTTCTTTTATTTAAATTAAAAACACGACTTCTCCAGCCTTGTGTTTATCGCAGAATGACAGAAGGAATCAAGGGAATCAAAGACATAAGCCTATAAAACTTCAAGAAGTTCTTGGATAAGATAAACCATTACAAATGGGCTGAAGAAATTCTTTACGTTTAATTTTTATTTTAAATTAAATTACTTCAATAAGAAACACAATTAACTTTACAAGTGTCATTCATTCCTTTCATATGAAACTACACAAAGAACTTGTGGATAGTCATATAACGTTAAGATAACGGAACGGATATGGAACAGAAACGGAATGTATAGTGAGAATCAACCTTTTTAATCGGATGCGAATTTTGAGGTGGATTTTCATGCACCCGTCATCCGTATCGCGCGCACTTTATCCTAAATTTTCTGTCCTAAAATCCTGTCCGTCATCGTAAAATAATTTAATTTTTCGCATATTAACGGATGTTTTTACAACTGTAATCTAAGCTTACTTTTTTGTTGGCAAATTTGGGACATTTACGCTATCGTGAAGTAGTTATTCTCCTTCTAAAATTTATACGTATAATATATTCCATATCAATTAAACTCAGTTACGTAATCGAGGGCGCGATTTTAAATTCATTGTTACCAAACATGGACATATTCGGCGCCGTGCTGACTAACTGGAATTTAAATTTCGCGCTGGAGATTCAGATGGTAGCTCTGCTGTAAAAAATGCCAAGTTTCTTCATCTACTTATTTATTTCCTGACATTGTCATTCGTTTTGACACTTTAGTTTTGTATTACGAGTTTTGGGTTTCAATATATAATGCTGTGATACTTTAAGCTTGAAAATGTTTACCAGCAGACCTTGCAGTCGAACATTGTTCTTTTTAGAACCTCTTCTAGTGCAAAGTTATGGCCAGCTTAATAGCGGTAAAAAACTCATCGCAACTTTATTAGAATATTTTGAACGCGAAAAACGGATCCTAAAATATTTTGATTAAAAGGAAGAAGTATAAAGTGGATAAATGTATGAAAGTGGGCAACGCTGTGCCGGTCAAGCTTAATGACGTGACTAAATGT